AGCACGCAGTCCCGCCCCCGCTTAAAGCGGCCGCGCCCGCCGCCGGAGGAATAGGCCCCGGCGCGCCGCCTCCAAGTGGGTGCGGCCTGGGCGGGCGGCGGGAGTAGGGAGAGGCGTCACGCCCGGGTGCGCCTGCCTGGCCCTTTAAACCTCTGTCCGCGTGGGCGGGGCCGCAGGCCGGGAGGGAGGGGCAGGCAGTGACAAGCGTCTTTGGTTCGGCTCTTTCTGCCCTAAGTATCCTCGCAGAAGCCAGGAGGCTGGAGAGGGACGCTTGGGGGCTGGTGCGGGGCGGTGGGCACCCGCGGGGCTTCCTTAGCAGACGGCGGACGGGCCCGGGAAGAGGCCACCCCTGAGCAGAACGTGGCATGCTGGGCGGGGTTTTCTCCCCAGCTTGAGCCCTGGGGTCCTTCTTAGCCCGGGGAGGGGGAGGAGGTAAGGAGGGTCTTCGGGAAGGCGAAGGCTGCAGATAGACGGAGACCCTGTAAGCAAAGGAGAGCTCAGGTGTTCTGCCTGGAAGAGGCCGGCCTGGTCATTTGTTGCAGCTGCATCACTCCGAGGCTAGACCGCAGTGGACCGCTTTTCAGCGCCTACGCGACGGGGCAGGTGCCTTGGCTCAGAGCAATGATGAGAGGGAGGGGAAAGTGGGGCCCGGATGCCCAAATGAGGTGATGGCTGGACCAGGAGGCCCTGTCAGGCCTCACCTGCAGACTCCATCTATGAGACTGGTTGAATGATGAGCTGTTCCTGGAAACACGTAGTAATCATGGTAAATGGACAGAGCATGAAAGTGATAACCTGACCTACCTCCAGCCCCTCCAGGACCTGGCTCCACCTCCTGCCCCTTCCTGACAGTGCTTCCCCATTGCTCGCCCCGCACCACCCCACTGCCACCCCATCATCACTAACTCACCAGAACCTTTGTTTTCCCTTCTCAGACAGATATATTTCACACAGGGTAATAAATAGAGCTTGCAATTCCTACAAGATACGTTCAGAGACATGCTCCTTGCTTTTGTTTAATGTTGCCACTTAAGAACAAGCCTCAGCTGAAGCGCTGAGATTGTAAGTGGATATATATAGTGCCACTTATTTCTGCCGCAGGAGAAATATAGTGGGTCAGAACACTCCTTCCCCCATGGAAGAAGTTGCCCACCTGCAAGGAAAATCCTCTTTGCTCCTACCACCGCCAACCCCAAAATTTAGGAGGTCCAAAATTGGGTAAAGTTGAAAAATCTAAGGGCTGGAACCAATGTGCCATCCGAGGTTATTTAATATTGTTGGGGGAGGGGTCGAGAAAAAAAGCAGCAGTACACAAATCCTTTGATAAGTTTCCGTTTAATTGCATGTGATAAAGACCTACAGTTGGGGGGACGGGGAGGTTAACATTGGTGAAATTCACATGCTTTCCCATGGGCTTAGCTTCTCCTACAAAAGTACCCATCATGCTGCTATGATTTTTGCCTGTTTTCTTGTCTATCTCCTGAATTAGATGTTGGGGACAGTGTCAACTTCATCTCTATCAGATAAATGAGATCATGCACCTCCTCTGCTTAAAACCCTCCAAAGACCTTTCAACTTATCCTCAATCCCTGGGCCTGTGCACCTCCCAGCCTCATTTTTCATGTTCCAGCCACAATGGCCTTGCTGTGCCTCCTGCCCACCTAGGACCTTTGTAGCTAATTCTCCTGTCTGGAATGTTCTTCCCTGAGAGGCACAAAGCTGGCTCCTTGTCATCCTTGATGAGCTCAAATGTCACCTCCTCAGAGAGGCCTTTTTAAGGCCCAATATAAGAAAACCATTGCCTGCCACCACCACCCCCCCACTAGCTCTCATAATACTGGAATTTTCCTTAGAATCAGAAATTATATTTACTCATTTATCATCTTTTTCTCTCCTAGACAGAAAGCTCCTTTTCTTTCTTTTTTTTTTAAATATTTATTTGGCTGTGCCGGGTCTTAGTTGCAGCACGCTGTATCTTCGTTGCCGCGTGCGGGATCTTTAGTTGCAGCATGCAGGATCTAGTTCCCTGACCAGGGATTGAACCCGGGCCCCCTGCATAGGGAATGCAGAGTCTTAACCACTGGACCACCAGGGCAGTCCCTCTGTCTTTCTTTCCCAATGTATTCCTTTTACCCATTGGGTGTTGTCTTAGTCTGCTCAGGCTGCCATTATAAAGTACCACAGCCTGGGTGGCTTACCCAACAGAAATTTATTTCTCATAGTTCTGGAGACTGGGAAGTTCAAGATCAAGGTGCCACCAAGGTAGGTTTCATTCTGAGGCTCTTCTCTTGGCGTATAGGTGGCATCATCTCACTATGCGCTCACATGACCTCTCTGTGCTCTCTCTCTCGAGAGATCTCTGGTGTCTGTTCCTCTTCTTATAAGGACACCAGTCCTATTGGATTCGGGCCCCACCCTTATGACCTCATTTAGCCTTAATTACCCCTTTAGAGGTGCTGTCTCTAAATACAGTCACTTTGGGGATTATGCCTTAACATATGGATTTCTCAAGGGACACAATGCGGCCCATAAACAAATGTTTGGAATAATACTGTATGAACCCATAGGATAGGAACAGCTGGAACACTAAAAAGAATACAGGGAGCCTCAAAATATTCACACTGGTGGACACGAGCAGTCTGCACAAGTGGTCGCTGCATGGAGTGGTTCAGGGCATGAGGCCTCAGTCTGACCTTCTGAGAGCCACCAAGAGGCCATCCTCCCTCCCCTGTCCCCTGGTGTGCTGGAGTCCCTGCTTACCTTTGCCTCACCTGTTGGGCTTCGTGGAGGCTGGCCCTAAGGGCTCCACCTCTATGAAGAACCTTTCCCCCGTGATGAATTAACACATCCTCCCTAGGTCTCTTGTGGGTTTCAACAGGGTGACTGGGTGTCCTGTGGTTGAAAAATTCCAGCAGAAAATCCGGTAAAGCTGAGATCTAGGCCTGGAGCCATGGTAAATTCAACAAAGAGATCACCCTGAACTCCCTTTTGCCTACTTCAAACTACCATAGAATTTAACCCCCAAAGCCTCTCCAGAGCTGATCGGGGGTGATTGTTATCAGCTCAGTGGCCCCCACTTCCCACAGTTACATTTCCAATGCAAGATAATGAGGATTTGTGGTAGGAATATTAACACTAGGGCTGCTGCCCTTCTGTTACCAAAGGGAAATCAATTATACCATTTTGCTAGGGCCAACAGACCGACTAACCTGCTTTAGAAAGATTTTCAGTGACAAGAATTGACATCAAGACAGGTGCTGTGAGAGCCCAGAAGAAGGAAGGTTTCTGGGGGAGGTGATACCTGTGGGGAATTAGACAAAGAAGGGTCACATCAACATCGGCTTCAGGGTGGCCTTGCAGGTGGCTTCTGTGACGTAGATGTGACCATCTATGGCTACTGTATAGTTATTCAATGTAATAATGTCACACATGAAAAAAACGTAATAAATGTTATGATTCTATTTATGCATTTAGTACATTACAAAAACCACTAACAACCAGACCTTTGAAAAATGTGAAATAGTCAAATATTTGAAACTTAATTTTTAATCTTAATATACTATTTTCTTCTCAATTCCTGATGGACAAGTGAAACTCTCCCAAGTCCTTAAGCAGTTCTAAGGATGACAGCCAACACTGACTGAGTACTTACTACGTCCAAGCACTGTTCTATGTGTCAAGTCGTTTTATCCTTACCACAGTCTCATGGGGCATTATTATTATTTTAAAGAAAAGTGAACTGAGGCACCAGGAGAGTCATGTGACTTTCTCAAGGTCACATAACTCTCAGAATCCAAAGTCTCCTGGTTCCTAGGCCTGGTATTTGTCCCCACAATGGTGACTGATGCCACCAGGGAGTGGCTAGCACTTTTAACTTTCCTAAGGGGACTCACTCGAATCTGTTCTCCCCTCCATCACAGTGAGATGGCAATGGGGCCAGTGGGGCCCGTTCTCAGGGGACCCCACAGCTGTCCCAGAAGTTCTTTCACTCCCATGCAGCCCATCCGGCAATTGTGGTCCCATCAGTGCCAGCCAGGTGAGACCAGCCATCCAACACCCCCTCTGGGTGGGCTCCCTTGCCAAGGATAAAGTAGAGGCAGAGCTGGGACCAGGAGCCAGGCTGCCGGTGTCCAGTCTTTAAGATCAGCCAGGCCGGCCACCTTCTAGGAGAAAAGACATGCTCTGTTCCGTTATGGCAGACGGAAGCGCCTGCTTAGGCCAGGGAGTGTCCAAGGAGCAGCCTGGTCACTCTTTATCTTGGTTGTCTGAGTGTCCCAAGGCCCTCAGTGACAGCGTTGTCGCTGTGGGCCCAGGTATGACCACAAACCCCATTTTACAGCAGGTGCAGAGAGGGTAAACTGAGGAATGGCATCAGTCCCCGCGCCTGCACCTGGGCACCTGCACCCAAGCCCTTCCCTCCGGAGGGACACAAGACGTTCCTAGGCCCACTGCCCAGCGCCTTGCACAGAGTAGGTGCTACACTTTTCTTGAATGAAGAGCCGCATCTCCAAGTCGTGTGCGTCATGAGGGGAGACGCCACCTGGAGAAAGAGCCCAAAGGGGCCTGCTCTGGGCTTCACACTGGTGCACGCTCCTCTAGGGACGCTGAGTCAGAGCCGGCGGACGCGGGCACAGACGCAGGGAGGGGAGGGGGCGCAGAGTGGAGGAACGGTGACCAGGGAGGGGAGGGGAAGGGAGGGGTCGAGGGGAGAGGAGGGGCGCGGCGAGGGAAGGGAGGGAGGGGGAGCAGATTGGAGAAGCGGAGACCGGGGAGGAGAGGGGAGGATCGTGGGGAGAGTGGAGCATCGTGGGGAGAGGCGGCGTGCGGCGGAGTGAGGGAGGGTGCGGGGAGGGGGCGCGGCGCGGCTGACGTGGGTCGGGGTCGGCGCGGCGGGCTGTGGCCGGCGGCGGCGCGCAGAGACACAGCGATCCGAAGCGAGGACGAGCCGGCGCCGCGCCCGTACCTCCCCGCACAGCCCGTGCCGTGCGACCCACGAGCTGCAGCCGCCGCAGCCGAATCGAGCCGCGTGCCCTCCACGCTCCAGCAGCTCCCAGCGCCGCCATGGCCCCGGCCCTCTGGCCGCGCCTCGGCCGCATCCTCTGGCTGGCCTGCCTCCTGCCCTTGGCCCCGGCTAGGGTGGCTGCAGGTAAGGCGCTGCGCGAGCCGGCCGCTCGCCCTCCCCGAGCCGCAGCGTGCCCGGGGCCTCGGGGCGGTTCCGGGCGGGCGGCCTCGCCGGGAGCCGGGGCTGCGGAGGTGGCGCCGTGCGCCCTGCGCGCACCTCCCACCTCCCCGCAGGCCGCGAGCTGCGGAGCGGAGCACGGCCTGCCGGGCGCCGCGCAACCCTCTCCTCTGTCCCTTCTCCCCTCTCCCCTGAAGTCACCGGCACTTGAGGGGGCTCCCCGCGCCCTCGTTCCTGCTGCCGCCTCCAGATCGGCCTTGCCCTAGGGACCGCGCGGTGGCCGGCGCATCCATCCCGATGTTTGGAAACCTCGCAGCCGCTGGAGGTGGGGGAGGACGCTGAAGGGAGTCTGGGAATGCTCGGGGTCGGTCTTCTCGCCACAGCCCGCAGGGAGCGCTGCCAGGTTGCCCGCGGAGCAGCGTTTTTGCCTTAAAATGTGGCTTTATCCAGAGAGGCTTTCTACCCTGCTTGTGTTGACTTCGGGGAGTATGCGATTTTAGCGCCCAGGAGGCCGGTCTGCCATTTCCTCTCTGGGAGTGATTTCCAAAATGGACCCGGAGCTGGTTCCGCTGGGTCCTACCCGGTGTCCCCCGGATCGTGCTTCTAACATCCCCACCTCCTCAACGCCGGAAGGCCAACACCCACTTTTCTGCCCCATTTTGGCGACAAGAAAGGACCCAGGGTGGAGAGTTGTAAGGGGACAGTTGGGATGTGGGCAGCTATTGGGTGGGTGTTAAATATTATCCAATATTTTCATGACCCCCCCTACACCTTAAAAGAATGGTAGAAGAAGAGATCTAATGCAAACTTGTGAAATAAAAGCCACAAGGTAAAATAAAAAACCTGCATCTTAAGGATGAATTAAGGGAATTTTGTGGCAATTGGCTTGGTCAGGAGCATCTGCTTGCCCCTGGAAACGGGGTCTCTTGTCCATTAGGTTTACATGTGTCCAGAAATTATCAACGCGGCCTAAATTGCCAAAAAAAAAAACGGTGTGGAGGGTTAATTCTTTGGAAGTCATGTGTGGTTCCCAGCCTGGCCTATTGCACCCATGATACAGTCCAAATAGCTGGGAATGGGGTTGGGGAAAACTCACAGGAGAAAAAGAGAGATTCAGAAGCCCTTTCCACCCTTCCCGGGTCTGGGTCAGCCTGCACGACATGCTTCCTACACCAGGGGTTGAAGTCAGAAGTCCGTGTCCTGGACCGTTCATTAATTCCAGGTTGTGTTGTCCAGACTTCAGAGGTACCTTGGGAAGTGTTTTGGGCTGTGTACCTGTGCAGTGAGAAAAGGCTGATGTAGCCCTTTTCTAGACTGTTCTGGGGCCCTACAGGCTGTGTGGTCAGGGAGAATATGCATGCTGCAGGTGGAAGCCCAGGGAGCCTGCTGGTGGACATTCTTCCACGGGTCAAACTTTGTGGCTGCTGTCACTTCACTTTTTGCTTTGGCCCTTTCAGCTCTGGGTCACTGGGGCACCTGTGTGGTCACTGGGGCACCTGTGGCTCCCCTAAGCCCCTGACTGGGCTGCTGTGTACTCCAAGGCCATGTCATCTGGGCTCCCAAACTTGGAAAGATGGATTTGCATGGGTAGGTAACCAAACCTGGGCCTGGTTCCTTCAGCCACATGTGGCAAAGCCTTCCCAGTCCATTTCAGCCTGGATGTTCTGGACACTTTCTAGGCCCTGAGGACGCGGGGGAGCATCACCCGGGGGCTGTGAAATACCTGCTTTTTAAAAACAAGCCTGAGAAATGTGCCCTTGGAGCCTCTGGCGTGTGGACAGGTCGGGATGGGGGATGCTCCCAGGAGCTGGGCCAGTGTCTGCGGCAACATTGGCTGTAGCCACAGCCCCTCCCCACCCCCACCCCATCCCGCCTCCTGGCTGAGCTGGCTGCCCTCCTGATTCTGTTCCCCTGGCAACGGATCTGCGTCGTGCTGACATGCGCCTGTCTTGCTGCAGACGCTAGATGGCCATTAGCATGCAGCTGAATGTCCCTGCCACCTGCCAGCCTCACTGTGGCCCACGCTCCTCTCCTGGGGGGTGTGGGCAGGAGCAAGAGAGGGAAGGGAGAAGATGGCCTCTCCTCTAAGCACCTCTTTCTGCAGCAGCCTGGCCAAAGGCTGCCTCCCAGCCAGAGGGACTCAGCCTAGGACAATGCAGATTGCTGTGGTCCCCGGCAGTAGCATTAGTCCCTGGGGACCTCTGGGGACTCAGGTCCTTCAGTGTAAAATACATACTGTGTTTTCTTGGAGAAACTTACGTGTCTGGAATTCTCTCTTTGGGATTAAGGTGCTGCAGGTCCCTTTTTCAATGCTAGCCCAAATGACTTTATAATCCAAAATACGGCCCCAAGGAAAGGGATTCACAACAGGGAACGTGTAACGTGGGTGAGCGGAAAGGCTGGAGCCAGAGTCCCCAGTGGGGGCAGGCAACATCGCCGCAAGGCAAATGGGGTGCAGTTGAGGACACACTCGCTCACCTCCCGGTTTTGCTGAGTCCAGCAGGTCTCTCGTGAGCCCCCTAAGAGCAGGGAGCACATCCTGTACTTCTGGGTCCCCCCAGCAGCTGCGGGTTGGGGCTCAGTCCATAGCACCTGGGTGAAGAGTTTCCTGGGGCAGTGCCATGTGGCCTGGTCCCTCTGCCACACCCTTCTCTCCAGGTGCCTCTCCACAGCATAGTGTTGAAACCCTACTATGTGCCAAGCACCTGGCTAGGCTTGGGGGAGATGGGGATGACCCCTGCCCTGCCCTCAAGGAGCTTGCAGTGCAGTGGGGGAGATAAGGAAACCTTTATCCCAACCCAAGATTGTGACAACTGTGTGCTCAGGCTGTTGGGAGAGTGCCGAGGAGGTAGGGTGGGGGTTGTCAGGGAGGGCTTCCTGGAAGAGGTTATATCCACAGACAGATAGGTGAAGAAGAGCAGTGGGGACAGTGTGTGCAAAGGCCCTGAGGCTAGGAAGGACAGAGCATGTTGGGGGGGAACTGCAGGTGTTAAAGGGTTAAAGCGACATCATGGATGTACTAAAATGTGAATGTGGTCTCCCTCCACCCCGAGGCCGGCCCATGATCAGATTAACTGTGCAGGAAGCTGCTTGTTGGGGTGGCTGAAATTAGGGCAGGACTGGAGGCCAAGGGTCACATTCAGGATGTATCGGTAATCCATCCGGATGGGGCTGAGTGCTACCTTAAGCAATGCTGGTAGTAATGGAGAGGGAGAATTAGTGGCAGAGGCCCGGGGGTTGATTCTTGGGACAGCTGGTCCTCTGACCCGGCAGAGAATGATAGGTGAAGAGAATGGTAGGTTTGGGAGGGGAGAAATCCAGGGGGTCTAGAGCATCAGTGGCCAACACAATTTTAGATGATGGAGGAGATGATCTATATCTGTGCTATCCGGGAGAGCTGTGGCTGTTGAGCGCTTGAATTGTGGCTCTAGGGCAATGGAGGGACTGGATTTTAGTATTATACATTGAAGTGATTAACTTTGATTAATTTAAATTTAATTGCATGTGGTTAGTAGCCATTGTATTATTGCTCAGTAGAAATGAAGTCTGTGTTACTGGGTTCCATCAGCATTTAGGAGGTACTGGAAGCCAAGGGAGGGGGTGTATGTTGCCGGGAAGTGGGGTGGGAGGGAGTAAAATGAGCAGAGGGGGGCTTGGGGGCCCTCCTCCCTTCCTTCTGCATCACCTCTTCTGCCCAGGTGTGCACTGTTAGACATTCTCTAACCTCAGGCCCTTCAGAAGTCTCACCTGAAAAAGAAAATTACAAATCACAGGAAAATAGTTACTAAGACGTGCAATAGTGCTATTGACAAGACTGAAGGGTTCTGGGAATTAAGATGTGCCTGCTTGAGGGATTATCATGTAAATAGTGAAGTTCACATTAGTGCCACTGCAGACATCCTTTCTGATGTATTGTCAGGTAGAAATAAAGTAATTCAAAATTGTGTGCAGAGGCTGATTCTGACTACATTTAAAACTTCCGTGCATGAAAAAGAGCTGGAGGACAGCAATATGATAGCAGCCGTTGTCTCTGGGGGGTAGGGTAATAGGACACTTCTAATATTCTTTATGCATATGTATTACTTTTATGATGGAAACAAATCTGATTTTTAAAATCTTACCTTCTGAGTATGATGAAATCTGCACCTATCTAAAGCACGTGAAGAATGACTTAGGAAAATGCCTATGATACAGAATTGAAAAAACAGCAACAGCAATGGAATATATAATCTCAGAGTAGGCAGCATGTAAAAGAATAGTAGGAAATGACCCAATATAGTAAGTGGTTGTTACTATTTAAAAAAAATTTTTTAATTTTATACCTTTCTCTATTTTCAGATTACAATTAGTCTTACCTTCAATGTGTTGGTCAGATGGGGAGTGTTATTGAAAAGGCCTCTTATTTGGTCTCCATTCCATGTGCTCCAGGCCCTATTCTCTGCTTGCAACCTAGAAAACGAATTCCTGGGTTCCCTGTAAGAGCTGCATCCCCAGTATTTCAATTCAGGTTCCCCAAGGAGTTGACCCAGCTGGAAACACAGAGCTCCAGCTTTGGCCCCTGCAGGAATCCTGGAGGTTCCCTAGAGCAGTGTAGTCCAGTGGAACTTTCCGTGATAATGAAGATCTGTATCCACAGTGTCCACTGTGGTGACCCTTGGCTACATGTGGCTGGCCCTTGAAATGCGCCAGCGCAACCGAGAAAGTGGGTTTTAAGTTTATTTCACTTTAATTGACGCTTAAGGAGCCATACGTGGCTACCATATTGGACAGCTCAGCTCTAGAAACTCCCACCTTACAGATTTACAAACTGAGACCAAAGAGAAGGGGGCTTGGCTTGGATCACAGGGGCCCTTCCTCACAAGGCTGGCCTACCACCATCAAGGTATTAGGCCTTATCAGGGTCCAGACTCAGCTTTGTGTTTCCAGCTGGAATTTTGTTTCACATGTAAAGGTTAGTCCAAAAGAGTGGGCGATGGGGGGCATTTCTTGGCATCAGCTGCGGTGGCTCCTCCTGTGACATGCACTGGCCATCATTTTAACGGCTAAGAAGCCGAGCCAGGTCAGCATACACATGCTCTGTAAGCCCCTGCTTGGCTGGCATGAAAAAATAAAACAAACTGGAGACACGGGAAAGGGTGTGGGATTTGGAGTCAGTTGGGCCTGGGTTTGAATCCCAGCTGGGCAATGAACTAATCGTATGACCCTTGGGCGGGTCACTTGACCTGCCTGGGCCTCAATTTCTCCACCTGTAAAAGAGACTCACAGAAGCCGGCCCAGAGGGTGGCGGTGGGTTTCCTGGCCATGCCCCTTCGTGAAACGCGGTCTTCGTTTCTGGGTTCCTAGGCGTGTATGAACTTCACCTCACCCCCGATGGCCCTGCCACCACGGGGGCAGAGGTGACCATCACGGCCAGCCTGGTGGCCGATGACAATGGCAGCCTGGTCCTGCCCGCCAGCACCCGCCTTTACCGCTTCCGCTGGATTCACACCCCATTGCTGCTCACGGGGAAGACAGATGAGGCTTTCAGCTCCACCATCCGCGTCGTGGGGAACGTGCCCGGGGACTTCCCGGTCTCCGTCTGGGTCACCGCCGCTGACTGCGGGATGTGCCAGCCTGTGGCCAGGAGCGTCCTTGTCCTCCCCATTACAGGTGAGGACCTTTCCTACTTCATTTGTCTTCAGACTCCTGGCTGGTAATCACATAAATGCAGATTAGACCCACGGTTCCTTCGCTGCTGTCAGTTAACAAAGGATCAGAAAACGGTAATATGCACTGCTGGCAGGGTTGTGCTGAAATGGACGCTTAAAGTACATATCGCTACTCGGGTGTAAATTAATACAACCTTTTGGAGAGCAGCTGATACATATGTATCAATGGTTATAAATTATTTTAGTCTTTGGCCTCTTCTTTCTCCTTCTCTCTCGCTCTCTCTCCCTCTCTCCTCTCTTTCTCTCTCTCTCTCCCCCTTCTCCTCCCTTCCTTCCTCCCTCCCTCCCTCCCCTCCCTTCTCTCTGTTTCCAAGAAGTCCCTGCTTTCTTGGAGTTTACAGTCTATTAAAGAACTTATCTTCAGGAAATAAACCTCCATTTGGGTAATGGTTTATGCACGAAGATGTTCATCACAGTTTTTATAATAACAGAAGAAAATAGAAACAAGCTAAGTATGCAACCATAAGGGGACTGGTTAAGTATACTGACACAATTTGTATAATGAATAATAATGACCTTTACAAAGAGTTTGTTGTAGCCTGGGGGAGTACTCACGGTTGTAAAATTTAAAAAAATCAAAACAAAATTCTATAACCAATTTGATCAACTGTGTTTAATATGTGTACACCTTAAATATGTACACACGTATACTTTGCAATTCTTCAAAACATCAACAATGCTTGTGTTTGCGTGATAAGCAGTTTCTTTTCTTTTCATTCCACTTTTCAGCAATTTCCAAATGAGCTTTATTGAGCACACCTCACTTTCTGCTTAAAAAAATCAGCTTTTAATTTTTTTTTTTTAGAGGAGGCAGCCTGGAATGGTGTTCCTCACCCAGCCCAGCACATGGGGTGTGGACCTGCGGTCAGTAGAACTGCTCATTTTTTCTAGGCTCATCTAATACTTTGAAATATTTCCCAAGAGTTGCTTTCAAAGCCTGTGCATTTCCTTCTTGTCCTGGGCATCTTTTGTGCCAGAAAGTTCAGGGTCTTGGTGAAAGGGGTTCAGGAGCAGAGCTATGCATGTAACACATGCAGTGAGTCTTCACCAGCGTCCACGGAGGGGGCATATGCCTCTGTGTTCGGTGACCTGCAGGGTCCCCTCTTGCCACCACCTGGCTGTGACAGCCAGGAGGTCGGGTGGGGGAGAGGCTGCCCTGCCAACTGGCATGTGGCTCTGCCCTCCTCCACTTCAGTGGACTCACCCTCCCATGGTCTCTGTCCCAGAGTTCCTCGTGGGGAACCTCGTTGTCACCCAGAACACCTCCCTGCCCTGGCCCAGCTCCTACCTCACCAAGACAGTCCTTAAAGTTTCCTTCCTCCTCCACGACCCCAGCAACTTCTTCAAGACCGCCTCGTTTCTCTACAGCTGGGACTTCGGAGACGGGTATGTCCTTATCCCCCTTGATGCCCCAAAGTCTTGGCTCATGGCTGGTGGCCCTGTCGTCCCAGGCGGGGTGCTCTGTACTCTCCCATCTTCACCTTCTCACTCTCTCTCACTCCAAACATGCCTTGTACACCTGCTCTGTGCCAAGCTCGGGGTCCACAGGGACCAGTGTGAGCCAGTAATGGGACCTGCCTTCAAGGTGCCTGCAACCTAGTAGAGGGATCATTGGTGCCCAAAACAGCCCTTTAAGGCTGGTCAAGGTAGGTATATTTTTCTCTGTTTGACTGTGGAGGGACCTGGCCAGCCAATGACACACGCTGTTATACTCACATGGTAGAATTCAGGTGTTCCAGCTTCATTCTCCTTACACCTCCTCTCCAGACAAGCCAATTGCGGGAGGCAGGTCGGGAAGTAGGGGCCGGTCAGGCATATCTGGAAATGGGCAAGATCCTGCGTGAAGAAAGCTACAGAGCTACTGAGAAGTAGCAAAGATTTGTTTTTTAAATTTGTTTCATTGAAGTATAGTTAATTGACAATGTTGTGTTAATTTCTGCTGTACAGCAAAGTGATTCAGCTATGTACATATATACATATATATATATATATTCTTTTTTTTTTTTTTTTTTCGGTACGCGGGCCTCTCACTGCTGTGGCCTCTCCCGTTGTGGAGCACAGGCTCCGGACGTGCAGGCTCAGCGGCCATGGCTCACGGGCCTAGCCGCTCCGCGGCATGTGGGATCTTCCCGGACCGGGGCACGAACCCGTGTCCCCTGCATCGGCAGGCGGACTCTCAACCACTGCGCCACCAGGGAAGCCCTATATATTCTTTTTCATATTCTTTTCCATTATGGTTTATCACAGGATATTGAATATAGTTCCCTGTGCTATACAGTAGGACCTTGTTGTTTATCCATAATATATATAATAGTTTGCCTCTGCTAATCCCAAACTCCCAATCCATCCCTCTCCCACCTGCAGAAGTAGAAAAGATTTGAGTAAATGGGTATGAACACTATGTCCGGGATGGTGAGTCTTAATATTGTAAAGATGTCCGTTTCCCCCCAGTAATTCTTTAAGTTTAATGCAAACCCAATAAAAATCCCAATAAGAATAATTTTTGGAACATGACAAAGATTTTACAGTTCATCTAAATTTTGTGTATAAATACAATTTTACGCATATGTGCACATACATATATACATATACGTCACATATACACATAATGTATATACATACATATATACATACATGTATACAAATACACATATACACTTATATATATATGTATATATATGGTTTTATAACATAAAGAATATTTGTCTCAAACCAGGGCACAGCCTCCATATTTATTAGGGGCATTTATTTTCACGTTAAAGAAAGTTATATTCACTATTTCTTTCTCTTTTGTTTTTTTTTTGGTTGCGCTGCAGCCTGCAGGATCTTAGTTCCCCGATCAGGGGTCGAACCCAGGCCCTTGGCAGTGAAAGTGCAGAGTCCCAACCACTGGACCACCAGGGAATTCCCTATTCACTATTTCTATTGCAATTGAACATTTTTGACTAGGCAATGAAATAAAATAAGAAAAGTAAATGAAATATAAATGTAAAGGAGGAGACAAAAGTCATTGTACACAGATGACAGTACTGTTTACCTGGAAAAGACTCAACTGAAAAATCTTAGAACTAAAAAGATTTTAATAATGTGGCTGGTTACAAAACAAAGATTCTTAGCTTCTCCATATAATGGCAGTCGAAAAAATCTTTCATAATATTTATAAAAATGGACAGAATAAACTTAGCCTAAAATTATAAGATTTATGTGAATAAAATCATAGATTGTACTGAGAACCTTAAAAAGACTTGAAAAATGATGAGAGAATTTCTCAATATTGTAAGAAGAAAGAGAAATGATCAGAAAAGCAGAATGATGATGAATGGTGATGGGGAAAGGGGCTAGAAATACATACATAAACGTATTTAGAAAGCTACAAATAATTTTCAGCAAGAAAAGGCAGCTCAATGGAACAGAATAGAAAAAGCAGAAAAAAACCCTAAGTTTATATACACATGTAGTGTATGATAACAATGTTATTTCCAGCCAGTGAATAAGGATAGATTGTTTGATAAATGATACTAGGGTAGCTGGTTAACTGTTTGGGAGAAAAATAATCTAATCCCTAACAAAAGCTATTCCAGATAGATTTAAAATAGTAAACATAATGAACCAGGACTAGATTGGGATGTAGATGATCCCCTGAGATTGGATAGTTTGGCAGTGGGGAAGGCATTTCTGTAAATAAAAGGCAGAAACTAGAATGGAAAAAATACTAAATTTGGCATCATCAGATTTAAAATTTGAAATGGAAGAAGTAAATCAAACCAAATGATAAAGGTTAAACTGGGAGAAAATATTTGGAAGATAAGTAATAGGTAAAGGTTTGATAAACTTCATATATAAAGAGCATCAACAAATCAACAAAAATATTTTATTGTTACTAGAATTCCTTTTTTTTTTTTTGCGGTACGTGGGCCTCTCACCACCGTGGCCTCTCCCGCTGCGGAGCACAGGCTCCGGACGCGCAGGCCCAGCGGCCATGGCTCACGGGCCCAGCCGCTCCGCGGCATGTTGGATCCTCCCGGACCGGGGCACGAACCCACGTCCCCTGCATCGGCAGGCGGACTCCCAACGGCTGTGCCACCAGGGAAGCCCTAGAATACCTTTTGAAGTGATTCAGGTAATTGTAGGGAAAAAGCATGATGTTACACACTTAATATGTTATATCATAACCTGGGATGGAGGTATGACTCTTCCTGTTTTTCAGATGAGAAAAGTAAGGCTTAGAGTTACGTAAATAGGAAATCTGGAGCTGAGATTTAAAGCCAGATGTGTCTTAACTCCAGAGTTCATACTTCTCCCCTCCCCAGATTGTCCTTGTCTAACACACAGCCTTTCCCAGTTTCCTGGCTCGGGGTGCAGAGCACTTCCTGGCAGGTGACAGGCACCTGTTGCTAGGAGTTCTCCTACCTGTAACTTACAAATACAAAGACAACCAGCAGCCACTCTACCAGGTACAGCTGACCTCATGCCCTGGCTGGCTCTGGAGACTGATGCTGGGATGCTGTTTTTGCCTGCAAGGCGTTGGTCTGAATGTGTCACTGTACAACCACTCTAAGAGGGCACGTGAGTCACTTCTGTCATCTCCTCCCTGTCACCTTATAGCACCCAGATGGTGACCAAAGACGCTACAGTCTATTATAACTATTCCATCGTTGGATCCTTCACTGTGAAGGTCAAGGTTGTGGCGGAGTGGGAGCAGGTAACACCGGACGTCGGGAAGGGCGTTCTGCAGAAGACGGGCGACTTCTCCGCCTCGCTGAAGCTGCAGGGTGAGTCTCTGGGGGTTGGTGTGGGTTGAGCATTTGGCCCATCAGGGAGCCCTGGGTACCACTCCTTCCAGGGCTGGGTCACTTGCAGATCAGGGTGGCTCCAGCTGGGCACTGGGCTGAGCTCGGATGCACAGCCTCTCTTCTGTTCCCCTGGCAGCCCTCTGAGTGGGTCTGTCATTCCCCGCTTCCAAGAGGGCACTGCAGGCCATGGAGGAGGTCAGGTGGCCACCAGGTGGCAGAGCCCAGACACTGCTGTGATACTCCTCGTTCCCGGCTACATCTGCCTCCCGTCAAGGACCGTCCTGTCGGGGCTGGGACAGGCTCAGTCGGCTGCACAGGGAGGGAACAGCCAGACCTGGCTTTGGCAAGAGCGGGTGCTGGGGCAGCTGCAGCAGATTTCTTGGTCGTGCTAATGGGGTGCTGCTTCCCCCACCCCACACACGGAACAGATGATGCGGGGAGGCGGTGGTACCCTAAGTCAGCCCCAGGTCCTGCTCACCAGGGCCCTGCTTGCTTCCTCCGGCTCCCTCACTCTAAGCTGGCCCCAGCACCTGCTGCTGACAGGGAGGCGGGACCTGGGTATGCCCTGGATGTGACCTGTGACCTGCCCTTGGGGAGGGCCAGGAGGAGGACGGGGTGACGGTCACACAGCCTCGGGACTCCACGAGCCCTGATACAGCTGTCGTCAGCCACCAGATATAATGAGGTCTTCTCTGCCTTTCAGAAACCCTTCGAGGCATCCAGGTCTTGGGGCCTACCCTAATTCAGACCTTCCAAAAGATGATAGTGACCTTGAACTTCCTGGGGAGGTGAGTGAAGCCCAGAGCACACTGCACATGACCTGTGGTCCTGCCCGCACTCCCCTTCCGAGGCTCCTGACCTTTTGCTCCATCCCTGAGGGGACTCAAGTTAAGGAGCTCACAGAGGGATGATGCCATCCTTGACCGTGCCACGGGGGAGTAACAGGCATGGCTCCATTCTCAGGGTCCAGAGGAGGGAGCAGTGGCCTTTTGGGGCTGTTGGCAACATGGGCATCAAGGCAGAGGCTGGTGAGCGACCACTCCTGTGAAAAGACCCGTATGTGACTTGGGCCTGCTTTCCAGCCCCCTGGAAAGCAGGCCATCTTGGATAGGGCCTGGCTCAGCTCCTGCCACGAACACCATCAAGCTGAGTTTGTAGTAAGTGATGAGATGAGGAGATGCTGGGTGTGTTCTCCCCACAAGGGAGCCCCTCTCGGGGGACACTGGGATGGACGGGGCTGCAGAAAAATAGTGGTCAGGGCCCAGCCCTCCAAGGACTCTAGTGGGGAAGACCAACCCCACCCAATCCCCCGACAAGGGGACACGTCAGGGGGAAATGAGGCTAGACTGGGAGTGGGCAAAGTAGCCAAGGAAGGAGGAAGACAAGCCAAGGGGCTGGAGGTGGCTCCTGAAGCTTTCAGGGGGCTTTGGAGATAAGAGCTCAGTACTTAGAGAGCAGAGGGGGAAACTACTTGTGCTTGGTAGACCTGATCGTTGAAGTGGCATGAGTGTGTGTTTTACTCTGGTCTAGGTTGTGTGAGATAGGAATGCTCACTTGGAATTCTTTTTACGGACCTGCATTTTCCAGATTCTGAGCCTGTGCTGTGGCAGGTGGACAGTTTGGAATGCCCTCACCCCTTCAAACCTGTCAAAAGCCGACTTATCCTTTTAGGGCCTACTCAAATGCCACCTCCTCCAGGAAGCCTTCCCTGACTTCCTCATTAAGAACACGCTCCTCCGTTCCCTGTGCTTCCACAGTGCACCAAGTGCGTCACTGGGGCACTCATTCTGCCTCCTTCAGCAGTCTGTGTATGTCCCTGTTTGCCTCACTGACCCCCTCGGAGTCCCGAGCCATCTCCTATGTACCGTTTTGTTCCCTGGAGGCCAGGGAAGCTGGGTGTTCTGTCCTGGAAAGGACACTGAAGTTCATGACTGCCTGGGCTTTCTTGGACTTAGTGTATGCTCACACTCCTTGCTGAGCCATTGCTAAAAAAATGTCCCCATTTCCCTGCAGCCCCCCTCTGAACGTGTGCTGGCGTCTTAAGCCCGAGTGCCTCCCGCTGGGGGAAGGGGAATGCCACCCTGTGTCAGTGGGCAGCACGGCTTACAACCTGACCCACATCTTCAGGGATCCTGGGGACTACTGCTTCAGCATCCAGGCCGAGAACGTTATCAGCAAGACGCATCAGTACCACAAGATCCAGGTCTGGCCCTCCAGTAAGTGACACTTCGCCTCTGCTCTTACAGAGGCAGCAAAAACCAGTCAACCCTGCCACCACCGCCAGTGTGCTGCCACCAGCCAGCTCCACCAACAGCCATCAACATCAGTCCCAACAACACAAGCATCATCAATAACCCTACGGTCCCCAACCAGCGCCACTGACTGACCACCCACAGCACTAGAAACTCTGTAGTGCCACCAACAACTGCTCTAGCCCCCACCACCAGAACCCCTCAGTTCCACCACCACCACCCTCCACACCAGCACCACTAGCAGTAACGACAGACAGCTCAGCTACTGCCGGCTAACTTGCCCAGCGCCACTGCCACCATCACCACATGCTACAGACAGTTCTTCTAGCATCTTCAATAGCCAGAGACGGCGCTGCCGTTGCGACCACCCTTACCACCATCAGCACTGCCGTTAACACCCCTGCCACCAGCCCCTGCACCGACCATTTGGACCAACACCATCCATCCCGTGCTACCCCAGCATCATCCCAACTTCAGCTCTCCTGTTGCCACCACCACTGACAGTGGTCAGTGTCTCTCCATACGTTAACCACTGCCACACTTGTCCCCAGCACGAACCCTCCCTCCTTCACTGCTATCACCGCCACCCCATCACCTCCATCTCGGCGCTGTTGCCGCCACTAAAACAGGCATCTCCAACGGGGACGGTGCTGGACTCACAGGGCTGTTGTGAGTCTCCCAGGGAGGGTAGGCAGCTCAGAAAGTGTGCAGTACAGTCTCTCTCGTTCATAAGGGTGCCCAACCATCGCCCCTGGAATACCCTTTCCCAAACACATCTTGAGGTTCCGCCACTGGCTTACAGCCACAGGATTGGCTGATGACAGCATCAGGTCCTACCCTTCATTTCTGGGGTGGGGGGCCTGTTCTGTGACCCCAGAAAAGAACTTTCTTATGTAGAGGAGAAAGTAGGATCCCAGAACCCTAGGGATGGTCTTTCAGATGCCCAGCCAGGTTCCATGCCATACAGACCAAAAGGGGACACCCCGCCAGCTGCACTCATCCCCGAGGTTGGCCCTGTAAGTGCACCAGATGCTGTCACTGCCCCCTCCAGTCTTTCCCGTCCCTCTGAGACCCTGAGCAGACACCACTCTCCGCTCCTGGCCCCGGCTGATGTTGTGGGCCAGGCAGACTCTGTGACCTGTTGGCATCATCGGCGGCCTTGGGCCCCACTTCCCCCAACATCTCCTGGGCACTGAGTGTCTGGGATCCCTCTGAATTCTGCAGAGAAAGACAGGACTACAGGTAATCAATGCCGCCTTTTCTTGAGAGACAGATCCTCATGGCGTATGGCGGCGGCTCTACCAGGAGGAGGGTGGGGGAGTAGGGAGAAGGAACCCACACTTGCTGATCGCCTGCCCTGCACCTGCCTCACCTGGTTGCATTCTCGTGGCAGCCTTGTGGGTCAGTATTGCCATCAGGTCACTGGTCAGAACCCGGATTCGAACCCAAGACCCCCTGGGCTCTTCCTGCTCTGCCATGCTGCTGCTTGGTAACAGGATAAGGGAGTGAGCGCAGAGCTGCCAGAGGTCACAGGGCTGTTTGGGTGTCCTCACAACCTGGCTTCCCTTCCCCAGTGCAAATCACCCAAGAGAGACCAAGGAGGAAGCTGCTAGGTCTTTCATGGCATGGGCTCGGAAGTTGTACGTCATCACTCTGTCTCATGCTGCTCATTGGGAGCAGCCCACGCTCTGGTGGGAAATTTAGTTGCACCCCTTGAAAGTCACTCTCAAGTAAAACTTGAAAACCCTCACATACCCCAGCTTGGTTTTTGTGAAATCCTGGATTTGCCTGTTGGGGTTGCCTAGTTGGGATGCATGAACACAAGGAGGAAAAAAGCTCTGGTGGGCTGTGTTCTCTCCCCCGTGTCACCTCCTCCTGAAGGCTAGTATTCAGCACCAACTACCCAGGCTCGTGACTTTAGCCTGTCTCACTCCCAGGCATCCAGCCTGCTGTCTTCGCTTTCCCGTGTGCCACGCTCATCACCATGATGCTGGCCTTCATCATGTACATGACCCTGCGGAACGCCGCTCATCAGAAGGACATGGTGGAGGTGGGTGCTTGGTGGGGTGGGGGCTGGACTCCTGGGCCCTGACAGGAGAGGATATGCGGAGAGGGCAGGGGGGGCTAGACCAGGGAGCCTGGAGGTGGTCTGGATGTCAGAGCAAGGCCCTGAGGCTGGGGGTAATGTGCCCAAGATGGGGCCCGATGGATGATTTAGCTGCTTGCCAATGTGACTTACCTCCTTCTATGCTAGCCCTTTGCTTGGCAGCCGTGCCCATGAGCTGGTAAGGGAGAGGGCAACCGAAAGCAGGAAAGACCCACAGAGCAGAAAAGCCAAAGGCACAGGGGAGCACCGCATGGCTCCAGAAAGGTGTTTCTGTGCATGCTGCCAGCAGGCAGCTGAGCTCCAGGCCACCTAGCCAGGCAGCTGAGCTCCTAAGGCCACCTAATGGGACTCCCAGCGGGCGGGCGGGTGATTGACCAGTGGGGTTTTGTTCACCATAGGTGGCTGATTTTGACTTTTCCCCCATGTCTGACAAGAACCCGGAGCCGCCCACTGGGGTCAGGTGCTGCTGCCAGATGTGCTGTGGGCCCTTCCTGCTGGAGACGCCATCCGAGTACCTGGAAGTTGTCCGCGAGAACCACGGGCTGCTGCCGCCCCTCTACAAGTCTGTCAAAACTTACACGGTGTGAGCGCCCCCCGCCCCCGACCCGGTTTCAGCGTTGACTGACTGCTGACTGGGAGTTTCGGGCAGGGCGGGGCAGGGTGGTGCACGCTGCCCAGCAGGAGGGGTTCATGTGTGCAGGGCTGTCCACCCTGGACGGCCGTCCATTTTTACAGTCCAGCTGCCTCCACAAGCCCCCCTCCATCACACCCCCTAGCCATCCATCCATCCATCCACCTATACAGTTGTAAGCCCCTCTCAGTCAGTCCCACTCCTTGGCTTTGAAGAGGCCTCAAGTGGGGCTGCAACACCAAACGTGGTCCTTGTTCTCTCCTAAGTGTGCCTGGCTACTCCTCGTCCATTCCTCCCCTATTGGCACATTTGCTGTCTATCTTGGGTTCACAGTTCCCTCCCCCAGGCAGCCCTGCCCAGGTCAGAGAGCTGGAAGGAAGGTCACAAATGGATAATTTAAGGCTGCATCACAAAAGGTCATACATACAGAGACAAGCGTGCACACGCCACAGACATTTCAGATGATTTCCTCTGTATCAGTTAGGTGGTTGCTGGGATGTACCCTGAATCAGCACTAAAATGAAATCTGACCTTTCCCACATGGCCCTGACAGCTCCTGGGCCTGGCTCCTCCCTTTGTGTGCTGTCCCTGTGGCTACTGGGTCCCTCTCTAAGGACACCCTGTTCCCTCTCTGCTTGCTGGGGGTTGGGTGGGGGCAGGGCTAATGCTTTGTGAGTGCAAAGTGCTTTATAAATAGCACCTTCTTTTATTGAGTCCATGTTAAACTTTCATTGAGGAAAAGGCTTTGCAGCCAAAAAAGAGTCAAGCCACGGGGACTTGGGTACCTGGAGGGGGAGGGGATAGTGTTCTTGCCCCCCCAGCTGCTCCCAGGGTGGCCTTGAGAAGGAAGAGGCAGGACTGGATGGAACCCGGGGCGGGGGACCAGCCCACTCCTCTTTCTTTGTTGGCCCAGCAGCCTGGGGGAGGCAGAGGATGTGCAGAGAGTGTGTTATGGGTGCAGAGGGAGACCACGATTAGGCCCCCATCGAACTGTGCAGGATTAGGGAGCAACCTGGGCCTGCCTGGGGAGGGGAGGCAGGGCCGTGGGGGCTGAGCTTTGTTGCTGTCATCGTTTGCTCTCAGACTTTGTGCTGAAAACAGCGTTTCCCACTGTCGTGCAGCTCCTACTCATGAAATACTGCCATTATTGCCGAATAAAGCTTGTGTGCTCTGAGTATAGCCAAGCATATGCCAGGTGGCCCGAGTCTCTTTCCTTTCCGTGCGTGGATGTTTGGGCCTTGCAAGCAGCAAGAGCATTTCTTGGATGAAGCGGGACGTCCCGTCGTGTTCTCTGGCAAGTGCCCTGGATGGAGCCGCTGGCTACGACCTCAGGCCTGGGTCAGTGGTTCTCAAACTGCCTCTTAGGCTGCATCACAGACAATCTGGCTCCTGAGGGTGCCCCAGGTGACTCCAATGTGTAGCCAAGTCTGAGACTCTGGGGTGGACTCCTGATCAGAGGGGGATGTAGGGCACACCTGGGAACTTGGAAATGCAGATCCCTGGGCCCCATGCCACACGTGAATCAGCTCCCGGGGAGGGGGCAGCCCTGGTGCATCAAGTGTGAGAACCTCCCATCTCCAGCAGGGCTTCTTGAACTTGGATGTGATGAGTCACTGGAGGTCTTGTTACATGACATACCTTCACGCAGGGTGTTTGGAATGGGCCCTGGGATTCTGCATTTCTAACAAGATTCCAGATGCTACTGCTGCTGCCGGTCCCAGGACCTCACTTCGACTTGCAAGGCTCTGAGTCTACACCCTTCCTGAGCTCTTTTTCTTCTATAAGTGGTTCAGGATTTTTTCTTAATTGCCTCTGCTCTCCTGTCGCCCCCACCACCCAGCACCCAGCGGGTGTGCCCCAAGATTTGAGGAGCTGGACATAGGTGTGAATAGACCCTGACCCCACCCCTGCTGTGCCACCCTGGAGGCCCCACTTTCAATGAGCAAAGTCACTTAGGGAACTTTCTTGGACTTCAGCGTCGCTGGCATGTGGGGTGGATACTGCCACACACACCTTTCCTCTGGCCTCCCACCCAGGGGTCAGCTATGTCATGGTTCAGGGCGGGAAGGAACCTGGGTATAGCAGGGCACCCTCATGCCCTGGATAACTGGTTAGAGGATCAAATGAAACCTTGAGTTACTTTAAAGTATTCTTAATAGACAAGGACAGGAAACATTTTAGAACCACTTCCTGCTGGCAGAAGACACAGCTCCCCATCTCCGCATGCCTTCAAGAGAACCAGGATAAAAAAATCTCAACTCACCCAAAAGAATTTAAAAGTGGAGTTTCATGCTGTAAAGGGAGCTACATCTCTGCAAAAATGGGGGTAATCAGCTGTTTGTCTCACAGAAGTTAAAAAAAAATTTAAAAAAACAACAAATTGTCAGCCACATTTAAGAGGTTGGGTAGAAAGAACCCTTGGGATAAACCCCCCCCCCCAAAACCTGAGAGCTGGAGAGGGAAGCTCACTTTGCCAAGCACAGATGCACCAGCTGCAATACAGTTCAGCAGAGTATTTGACTTGCAAAGTTTGGGAGCACGCAGGCTGTTGGGCAGTTGGCTGGGTCAGGCAGCAGAGTCAGGCACTTCCAGGCTCCCTCCTAACCCCGGGCAAGGATACCTTCCAGGGCAGTGCTCACTGATTTGCTAGGCTGTCTGGAACGTTCCTCTGGAGGATTGCAGGAGGTTTCCAGAGCTGTAGCCCAGGTGAGGAGCCTGTAGGGAACTCACTGTATTTCCTTACCAGTCCCTGGTCACTGGCCCATTCCAGGCCTGTAGCAGCGAGTGTCCAGCTCTGTCCAGCACAGCTACATCTCACCTGAGCATCCTTATAAGCACTGTCATGATTCTCTGTTAGCCTGTCCCACAACCACACCCCAGGTCCAGATGGCAGGAGGGCTGGGCCGCTATTCCCACCAGCCTACAGTTCCAGGAGGGACCAGATTGTTGCTGATGAGAGGCTGTGGGTTCCCATGACCAAAGGGTGTCAGGAGCAGAATCAATTGAATGTATTTTTGCCAGTACCTGATAAGAGCCATGTTTTCCTTTAAGAAGCCCATCACCCTGGACATACTCGGGTGTTTTGGAAGGGTTCTGAGGGTTTAAGCCTGATAGGATTAAAGTGGGTGTCCAAGGAAACGTACATGAACTCACCTATACTGGGTTGAATAGTGACTCCCCCTAAATTCATGTCCACCCAGAACATGTGAATGGGACCTTATGTGGAAATAGAGTCTTTACAGATGTGATCAAATTAAGATGAGGTCATACTGGAATAGGGTGGGCCCTAAGTCCGATGACTGGTGTCCTTACAAACAGAGAAGAGACACAGACAGGCCACGTGATGGACCCAGAGGTTAGAGAGATGCATCTACAAACTAAGGAATGCCAAGGATTGCTGGCCACCCCAGAAGCTGGAAGAGGCTCGGAGCAGATCGCTGTGTGTTAATATGCTCCAGCTGCCATCACAAAGTATCACAGTCTGGGTGGATTAAACAACAGAAATAAATTTTCTCACAGTTCCAGAGCCTGGAAGCCACAGATCAAGGTGTTGGCAGGGTTGGTTTGGTTCCTTCTGAGGCCTCCCTCCTTGGTGTGTAGACGGCCATCTTATCCCTGTGTCCTCACCTGGTCATCCCTCTGTGTGTGTCTGTGTCCTAATTTCTCCTTCCTATAAGGACACCAGTCAGATTGGAGTAGGCCCACGCCAATGACCTCGTCTTAACTTAATTACCTCTTAAAAGGCCTTATCTCCAAATTCAGCCACATTCCGAAGTGCTGGGGGTTAGGACTTCAACTGATGAATTCTGGAAGGACAAAATTCAACCCATAACACCTTGATTTCTGACTTCTGGCCTCCAGAACCGGGAGGGAAGAGATTTCTGTTGTTTTAAGCCACCCAGTTTGTGGTGTTGATTTCCACCGCCCCAGGAAGCGAATACACTTTGCAATGTCTATCCTGGCAGCTCTCTCAGACTCTGCATCCATCCAACAGGAAGTCCTTCAAAACAGATCCAGAATCCAACCACTTCTCCCTGCTTCCGCTGCCACCCCACTCCCTGGTGGGGCCATCCCCATCCTGTTGGCTTCCACTGCCCCTCATCTCACCCCAGGTATGTTCTCAGACCCACACGAAGTCCATGTCCTCTACCCAAACCCTTCCATGTCTCCCAGCTCAGGGGCCTTCCAGGGGCCTTCAAGGCCCACACGACCTGGCCCTCTGACCTCACTTGCCTCAGCTTGGTCCTCCTCAGGGCTTCCCTAGGGCCGTTCCCCCTGCCGGGAGCTTTTCCCTACACATGCCTGGGGCTCCCTCCTTGCCTCCTTCACATCTGCTCCAAGGTCACCTGCTCAGTGATACTGACCCTGACACCCCCCACCTCCCGTACCCTACGTCCCTTACCCCCAAGAGCACTGATCATTTGCTAACATACTATTAATTTTACTAATTTGTTTATTTACTCTGCCTCCCTCCATAAAATAAAAACTCCAGGAATGAAGGGACCTTGCCTACTGTGTCCAATATTTCTATTTCCAGCACCTAGCATAATGTCTGGCACATAGTAGGTGTTCATTAAATATTATCGAGGAGAGGAGGAGAAATGCATCTCCCCATTCAAATGCACGGCCTGGCAATGTCTAGGATTTAGGAGAGGAAAGAGAAAATGCTGAGGAAAGGACTCAGTGTCTCCCCAGATTGTCCAGAAGGACAAATGGCATGGAAGCCCTGGTTTGGGCCGTGTGGTGATGTCCAGGTGACAGGATGCTGAGGCCTCTACACCTGTATCCTGGAGAGAAGGACCACTGTCTGGGGGTGTCCTTCCCTGCCCGGAGGACCTGAAGCTGCCCCAAAGTGTGATGGCATTCTGGAAACCAGCCCTGGTGCTTGTTCATCATCAGAGTGGGAAGCCCCTGGCTGTCTTCTGAGGATGATGCCTCATTCCGTGTTGGGGGGGGGGGTCAGAGGGTAGTGGGGAGCCAGGCTGTGGAGGGTACAGCAGGGGCCGAAGGAGCAAGCTGGGTTGGAACCTGGCTAAGGGGCTGAGGAGGGACTGGGGCCACCAGGCAGGATCCGGGCCAGGGGCTCTTAACCTGGGGTGCCCGACCCCCAAGGGATCCATGGAGAGAATTCATGAACTTGGATGGGAGAAATGACATCTCCATTGTTACAAACCTTTAATCCAATCGAGGCATTTCCTTCCACCATAGTGGCCCCAAATGGCAGTGTTGTCAGCAGTTCCTGTGACTTTGCCATCAGTAACAATCAAAAACATGTTCACATCACCCTCCAGCTGTGCATCTCTCAAAATGTCATTTGTGCTGATCATGTGTTCAAAACTACCGTTGCTATTAGACTTGCTTGTGGATCTTATTTCACTAAGCACATATATTACAATTGCTATTTTGATAACTGGTTTCCTTTGAAATCCTATTATTTAATATTATGCTTTTAAAACCATTATTCTGATGGCTTCACCTGACTGGAGGGGGGCTCATGGTACCAAGAAGGCTATCAGGGCCCTGTAGCTGTTCTCTGGGGAGATCCTCAGGGGCACAGGGGTGACAGGAGACTTTGTTTTCTTCTGGCCAGAGGGAAGGATCTTTCCCTGGGTATCTGACCCAGGAGACCAGGTGCCAGGTCCCCACAGGCCTGCAGTGCTCAGTGCAACCAGCAGGTGGCAGCCCCGCCCAGCCATGCTTCTGCAGTTTCCTCCTAGTGCTGGCTGCGGGCACCACAAGAATACAGGGGACACGGATAGCGTGGGTCCTGGCAGCTGTGGCACCCACAGACGCACACACCTGTGCACACGCCACATGAATATGCACGCTCACACTGACAGCTGGAGAAGCCTACCTGGGAATCAGCTTCCAGAACATCCTGGCCCTTCCAGGACAGAAGGCATTCTGTCCAGGACTCTTGCCTTGGGAAGTCCTTTCAGAAGAGGGGACCCCCTTTGTTCTTCCTCACCTTTTCCTTCCCTGATATCTTTTCTGAGGTGTCCACAGGCCAGCACAAGCCAGTAACTCCAGCCACAAAAATAATCTAGTTGCAGCCAAGGTAGGGAGTGGGTGGAAGAAATGGAGATCTGAGGTCTTGCCCAGACCCTGGGCAAGTGACTTAATGTGTCCAAGCTCTAGTTTCTTTGTGTTGCACAATTTGTATAAAGAGTGAACTCTTACAACTCAACAACTATATGACAAACCACTTAATGAAAAATGAGCAAAGGACTTGAACAGACATTTCTCCAAAGAAGACATACAAATGGCTAATAAACACATGAAAAGATGCTCAGTATCATTAGTCATCAGGGAAATGCAAATCAAAACCACCCTTAGATACCACTTCACGCCCAATAGGATGGCTATAACAGACAACACAAAACACAATCAAAGCGAAACAGAAAATAGTAAGTATTGGCAAGGATGTGGAGACAGAGGAACGTTCGTACACTGCTGGTGAGAATGTAAATGGAAGACAATTTGGCGGTTCCTCAAAGAGTTAAACACAGAATTACGATATGACCCAGCAATTCCACTCCTAGGTATACACCTAAAAGCACTGAACACAGACACTCGGGTACTTGTTCACGAATGTTCATAGCAGCACTATTCACAAGAGCCAGAAGATGGAAAGAGCCAACATACACATCAACAGAAGAATGAATGAACAAATTATGGTAATACACACAATGGAATATTATTCAGCCGTAACAAGGAATGAAGTACTAACCCTGCTACAACAGGGATGGACCTCGAAAGTATTATGCTCAGTGAAAGAAGCCAGCCACAGAAGGCTACACACGTTTATATTAAGTGTCCAGAATAGGAAAATTCATAGAGACAGAAAGCAGATTGGTGGCTGCCAGGGGGTTGGGTGGGGGAGGGAGGAAGGGGAAGGGATTGTTTAAAGAGTAGTGTGTGTTCTTGGGGTCGGTGAAAAAAGTTTGGAAACTACGGAGAGGTGGTTGCACAACATTCTGAATGCATTGAATGCTACTGAATTGCTCACTTTAAAGTGATCAATTGAATGTTATGTGAATTTCATCTATTTTTTTTTTCAACGTATTTTTTTTTTTCCAACAAAATAAAAAGAACGAATGGGTGCATTTTCCAGGCAATCATTGAGAGAACGTTCAGGCAGCATCGACAAGCCCTGCACAGGGGCCCAGCAGACCCCGGACACACGCCCTTCTTTCCCGGCACGCTGGGCACATTTCAAAGTCTGAGTCAGTGGTGAGGTAGGATTGTAGGGGCCGCGGCAGCAAGCGGTCCCGGCTCACCTCGCAGGGGGATGCAGCCATTGCTTTCTTTTCATTTTCTTCCCCGAAGCCCCGGTGTGCTTCCAGGAACGGGCAGCAGGGGGTGCTAGAAGCCAGCTGCAGAGCAGGGAATGGACGGCCTGACCACCCCTCTAGACTCAACTGGTCCAGCTCAGGCTGTAGTTTCTGGCTGGTCACCACACCCCCAGACTCCCAACGAGTGTCGACCGGCGCCGCAGGCTTCTGGCTCCAAACAGGTGGGATCAGCTCAAAAAGCTCAAGGACTCCCTACAACCTTTAACACCAAGTCCAAACTCTCCGCCCTCAAGCTGCTCCCACTTCTCTCTCCAGCCTTATTCCCTGTAGTATGGATTCACCCTTTCCCCACGACGCACGTGGTCTAAGCACGACCCCCCGCCCCCCCTCCACTGCTGTCAGGGCTCACCTTCATCCATTTGGCACGTGTGCACGATGACCGATGCTGGGATGCAGCTGCCAGCCAAGCGAACCCGGCCTCTTGGGGCCTCCCGTCCTGTAGATGACCAGCATCCGGCCATAAACCACGGAAAGAGCCACCAGCTGTCAGGGGCTGGTGCCTCTTCTTCATGTCCTGCCTGGGGAACACGCCTGAAACCTGCCCAGTGGCCAGCATGAGGCCAAGTTTCCTGACTCCGGCCCAGACCAAAACCATGAGAGCTCTGGTGACCACATGTGGCTCTTCCGGCAGAAAATCACAAGGCTTCCCCGGGAGATGCTCTAGGATTCTGAGCTCGAGGGGGTGAAGTAGCAAATAGCCCAGCAGTGCCTCATTAGAAGCATCAACATAAGCTCTACCCAGGACGACTGAGGCGCTTCTGCCTGGTTTTAACAGTTATTAGGAAGAAGGTTATTTTCTGTGATCTATTTATTCTTCTGTTTCACCTTGGACACAATGAACATTCTTGCTACCTTCAGCTTCAACCCACAAATGACAATAGTGTCCTCACTCTTGACAATGTTGGATTTTACAGGAGCCTTGAGCTCCTGGGAAACGGCAGAGGTTAAAGGGACCCCACCCCTGCCCCACACTTTGCGTTGGGGAAAATGGCTTATTGCAAAGACCCACCCGTCTCCGCCCTCCCCCCGTTTGCCTGTGACAACACAAGGCTAGCTGCAGATGGTCCAAATCCCTTTTCTTTGCCTCATAATGATTACCTGAATTGCTTGTCTCCGCTGGCCGATCCTTTTGAGCAGAATCTCTCTTCCTGTCTCCGGATTTATTTTTATTTGACGTGCTTGGGAGACAGCTGCTGATAACTCAATGGAAGTTTCAGGAGGTCTGAGCAGGTGATGTCAGAACCCTGCCCACCCACCTTAGGTTCTAAACAGGGGCTTACCTTGTTGGGGAGAAGTGCTTTTGTGTCGAAACAGGCAACGGTGCTTGATTCCTGGGAACACAGCACAGCTGAGCTGCATCCACCCTCTCCCACCCCCATCTGCCCTGGTGGCCTGGCCCAGAACAATGCCCTCCCATTCAGCATTCGCGGTAAAAGCCAGGAAGCGGGGATTGTCTCATACAAAGACCTGGAGGCAGAGGAACGCAGACGCCTGCTCTTTTCTGGGAACCCAGGAGAGGGAAATTAACAAAAAGAAAACATAAATTAATTACTCAGTGATTTCTCCTGCGTAAGTAGTTTGCACAAGTTTGCAGAGCCGGGCTGAGGCGGCGGGGCTGGGATTTGACTTCCTAGCTTGCTGGCTTCCACCCGCCCTGGTGGGCTCCCCAGCTGTTGGTCCTCAGGCTTTCAGAGGGGCCCACCTGTCCCAGGTGTGGCCAGGATGGAGATGGAGCTGCAGGGACCGACCACCAGGGGACACCAGGGCTCCAAGCAGGGGGAAAGGAAGGCCCCTGCTGCTGGGCGGAAAGCAGAAGTGGAGGGTTCAAGGCCCCTCCCCCACATTCTCGCATCCTCCCAACAGCCCTGCAAGATAACCCAGGTGGGGCTGCCTGGCTTCAAACCCTTGCAAGTATGTGACCTTGGACAAGTCATTTTGCTCTTCTGAATCTTGCTTTCCTTGTCTCCTTTGGGGGAAACAAGGGTGCCTTCCTAGAGGACTCTGCCACGTGCTCCGTGGTTAGGACCCAGTAAATAGTAACTTCTGTGTGTATAACTGGATCACTTTGCTGTACCCCTGAAACCAACACAACATTGTAAATCAACTAGACTCCAATATAAAATAAAAATTAAAAAATATATATATAATAACTGCTACTACTACTACTGTTATCAGCCCACTCTACAGCCAAGGAAACTGAGCCCCAGAGAGTCAGGGTTACAGGCACTCAAAAGCTGGAATTAACCTTCCCCACCTGGATATGGCTCAATATCCCGTTGGCAGCACCTCCCAGGCACGACCTCACATGAAGTTCCAGAACCTTCCAGGTTCCCTGAACCAGAGATCTATGGAGGGTGAGGGAGCTCCCTGCATTGTGTAAGGAAGGCTGGAACCACAGAGACAGAAGGAGCTCCGGGTTCTCCCCCCACTAGGGCACATGCAGCCGCTGACGTCTCTGAGCCTCAGTTTCCCCAGAGATAATGCCTGGGAAGTGGCTGGGAATTAGGTGCAGGGATGTGTATGAAATCCCTTTGTTCCCAGGAATGTTGACCCCACCTTGGAGCTCCAGGAGGGCAGGGACCAGGTCGGAGGTCTGGACAGGGCGTCTGATGTGTGTGTGGTGACCAGGTACCAGTATGTGCAGCCACGTCCAGGGGGGGCAGGGGTGGGGAGTGGATTGATAAAGAGTCATCTGTGTGGCCAGAGGTGGGAACCTGGAGGAGAAAGGAATGTGTGGAGACAGTGGAGGGGGTGGTGCAGTTACAGCATCTCCTCTTGGAGAGCGTGCAGCCTGGCGTGCTGCCGAGGTCAGCAGTGTCTCGGGTCACAAAGTACCTCGGCCAAAGGGACACGGCTGGGGACACTGCAGAGAACAGAGGGCCATGGCGGGATGGAGCTGTGTTCTAGGAGCTGCACCCAGGACCTCTGGCTTCTGATGGGTCCCAGCCTGTGGGGTCCAGGAGGTGCCCCACCAGCTCTGGCTTTTCCCCTAAGTGCTGGGTGACCTTCAGAAGATTGCTCTCTGTGATTTTCCTCACAGCCTTGCGTGCAGCTCCATCTTTAAAAATAGTTGCAGAAAAGCCCATTGCTTATTCAATGAGTTCTTTTGTTAAGAGACGAAACAAAACTCTGCATCTTTGGTTTGTTTAGCTCGTGAAAGGCCCGAGTATCAAAGTCCCTGCTCATTAAAGAAAAATAGGATGCGGGGAAGGAGTGGTAGAGGGCGAGGGTCGGGGAGCCGGGCTGGGCTGTGGCCACTCAGGCTCGAGCCTCGGTCCTCTCTAGAAACCTGGGGCAAACGTCCCACCTCTTGGGGGCTTAGTCTTCTCACACGTATGTTGGGATGATGATAATAATGCCAAGTCCTGGGATTCAGAGCCGAAGAGGACGCGATCCCTCCATCAACCATCCTCTCTCTGGCTCTGCCCCCGCCCCACCCTCCCACGCCCAGCAAACTTCTGGCAAGAATTCCCTCCCCCATCCCCTCTGAAACTGCTCTTCCCAAGGTTATCAGTAATGTTCACATGGCTAAACCCATGTTATTCAACAAACACTTGTAGAGCATCCCTGAGAGTCAGGCTCTATGCCCGCAGATTTCCCCCCTCATCCCGCCTGGCGCTCAGCAGCATTGGGTTCTCCTGGGCAGCAGCTGGTCCTCCCTGAAACCCGCAGACCCTACGCTCTCCTTGGTTCCCTCCCACCCGGTTGGCAGTGCCTCCTTTCCCCTCTTCCTTGGCTTTCTTAATGGAGGTGGCCGGCTGTCCATCCAGCCTCCGTTCTTTCCATTTTCCTTAGGGCGAGGGTCCCAGTTTTGTTTGGAACAGCCTTGAGCCCAACTAAGCGACTTTTCCAGTCCCCCGTACATTCTGGGGGTGGCTGATGAGATAAAAGCAGAAGTTTTGGCAAAAAGGAACCAGAGACTAAAGGGAAATAGTAAGATGGAATTTGCAGGTCAGCCTGGAAATTGGCAGAGGAAACTGGAGTCTGAATTAGTTTACCCCTTGCAAAGACCGAGTCTTCAGAGGATTCCGTGAAAGATGGGTTCCCTGGGAGACCTTGAAAATATGAATCCTGGGAAAATTGGGAATCATGCCTTTCCCTGTTGAAAATACGTCTGGATGGTAATAAATATCTTCAGGAAACATGAAAAAAAAAAGCAGAAGTTTTGGATGAAATGTCTGCAAAACCCCCTTAAATGGGAGACAAGCAGTTTTTCTCCATCCCTGCAGCCACCATCCTGATCCAAGCTACGGTCATGTCTGATAAGCTTGATGACAATGGCTTCCAGTGGGTGTCCCGCTGCCCCCATTCCCCCCAAATCGACGGTCAGAGAGATCCTTGTGAGGCAACCATGTCTCATTGTGTCATTATTCTGCTCAAACACGTGCTGTGACTCCCCATTACCCAGGAAGATGTTCAAACTCTGTGTTGTTAACGAAAAATAAATCAATAGTCAACCCAAGAGAGAAATGGAAATTTTTATTCCAGCCAACTGGAGGATTATAACCCGGGAGACAGTCTTTCAGAAAACTCCAAGGACTGTTAGAGATCAAGGCACAGTTATCTAAGTTTTTGAGACGAAGTAACATAGTGACAGTTTACATAGTGTAACAAGGTGAGTAGTGAGTTATTGTGACCCCTTACAGGATTGAGAAAGGACTGTTACCTCCTAAGGAGTTACCTTGCTGGTGCCAGGAAGAAATTTCTTTTTTTCTTTCTTTCCTTCTCTTCTTTAAAATTTTTTTAAATTTTTGGTGAGTAGGCATTCCTGTGTCTTCTAAGGGGATCTAGTTAATGTGTAATGCAGATGCACAGCGCTCACTAAAGGGGAGGGGGCAGTGGCTCAAATGGGCAGAGGGAGAATTTTATGTTTAAAATTTTTCTTGTCCTGCCTTAAAAATAATTTTATTTCATCAGTATTGAGCCAGCAAGACTTCCATACCTACTGCCGACCTCTCAGCTCACCACCTAGCTCCCTCCAAACCTTAGAAATACACTCAAGTCACATATGTTATTTTAAATGTTCTAATGTCCACACTAGAAAATGAAAAGAAATGGGCCAGATTATTTCAATTCTATCTTTTCTTTAGCACACTATACCCCAAATATTATCATCCCAGCATGTAATCAATGCAGAGTTTATTAATGAGGTCATTTAATCTTCATGGTTTTGTGCTGTGTCTTCACGGTCTGGTTGTGTACTTTCCTCGTATAGCATCTTGCAACTTGAACTGTATTTCGATTTCATAAAGTGTACAGTTGGAAAAGTAGATCCACATACCCGAGTTCTTCCAAATATAAGGAAGCGTCTTCCAATGACTGCATTAAAGATCCGTTTGAAAATGTTAACTAATTGAAATTTAATGAAATAAAAATTGAAATTCAGTCCCTCAGTGGCACATTTCAAGCGCTCAGCAGCCCCACCTTGTGGCTCGCGGTTGTCACAATGGACAGGGCAACGTGGGGTCTCGCTTTCTGCAAATGACAAAAATGTTCAATACAAGTGGCATGG